TGAAGTCACGTCGAGCAGAACTTCAGTACCCAGAGTCCTCCAGAGGAGGAGAAAAAAACCTAGACACAAGAATCTACGGAGGCCCGGATGCCCCCATCGACAAGGCACGTCTACAGCCCTCTCTGACTAGATTCCTCGGAGTTGGTTTGCAGAGGGCGAGAAACGGCGCAGAACGGCTCATTCCAACATCTCGCGCTCGCTGCACTCCGGCGCGCTCCTGTGAAAAACTGCGGTACTCTCTTACTACAATTTTAGTTTTTTTTTTTTATTTACAGCCGACGTGGTGACAAAAACACGCGATTTTTTTTTCTTGTTCTCCTCTTTTTTCTGTTTTCTTTTTCTTTTTTCTTAAAAAAAACAACCCAGATGCTGAACAGCCTGTTTGGCGTCGCAAGACAGAAGAGGACCGAGATGACTAAAACACCCGTCATTCATGCATAGTAGTTTTTTCACCCGATACAGACAGCCTCTGCTTTTAGGATGTTGCATGTCACGGAACGGTGTGTTCTCGAGTCGCGAGGAGCCTGAGGAGCGCGTGAGGAGCTCGAGCACCACAGCTGCAGCAGCGGAGCTCGTCGCCTCCCGGTGAGTGCGCGCGTCTGGCTTCACACACAACATTTGCATAGTCTTCCCCTGCGCCGCGGCGCATTTCACGAGGGTTTGTGTTTTCTATTGAAGGAATTTTTATTAACCTCATCGCTGCCATTCATTGAGCTCGCGATAGGTCACTCGCATTCAGCGCGCGCGCAAACACACACTCCATACACATAGATTACACTCACCCTCTATATCAGGCATATCATTAGCCGCAGGTTGCCAATATTAAATATTTCTGACACGTACATTTTTTGTGGAATAAAATGCGCGGACAATATAAGAGATTCGTTGACCGTTGATTACGAAAATTGACCGTTTGGTTACGTATATTGGGGGACGTGTCGCTATAAATGCTGTGCCCATTGACTGAGGATTACTGATCATAAGTGTCTGTTAACTGACGGCATGAATGCGCTGTGTGATTATTATGGGCAGACGACAGCCGCGCGCCGCCAATGACTGCACTTTTGAATAGTCTGGCTTTTATTATTCTGCCTTCAGTGTCTCTCAATGTTTCATTTAGAAGTGCTTTATTGGCATGACTGTTTTATACAGTATTAAAGATGCCAAAACATCAGTGACAGAAAAAATGTCATGCTAATTGAAGTCATGATTTCAATATAGCTAGATAAACGTTTAAAAGAAAATGTTACGTAGCATTGGCATTAAGACATGCCAATTACGAAGTTTTTTTATTATTATTATTAAACTAATCTCCTGTCCCAGTGTGGGCAATGCAGTGGCGCGTTGGCGCAAGTCTTTGGGCTCGCGCTGTGCGCTCGACGGTGACGCGAAGATGTTTATGTTGTGACAGGCGCGATTATTCACGGCGCACGCCAGGAACGCGCGTGTTGCTCTGTCCAAAACACGCACATGGTGGCGTTACTGAAACGCGGATGTTTCTAATGACAATGGAATGGATTTGTGTTTCTTTGTCTTTTTATATTGGTCAAATTGTCTATAAGAGTTTGCACATCTGTGAGTATTCGGGTGAATAGGGAGTGGGGACTGTCTGTGCATGTGTCCACCTGTCAGAGAGACTTATAGAGCTGGTCTCCATGGCAACCTTTATTCTGTAAAGGAAGCTTGGTTTCCCACAACAGCTGGAAACCTCTGATTGGCAGAGCTGAGAGACATTGCTGACCTTGGCCACAGCTAGTGTATCTCACACAGCACACACTTAGCAGGAAAACACGGCTTCACTCTCTTCCATCCACTTTCTCATTCCCATGCTGGCTGCTTTTTTGGAGAGATTTTCACCTCTGACCCTGGTTCCCCAGTCTAGGGAGGAAGGGGGAGGCATTGTGTTTCAGGCTGCTAAGTTTATCCGCATCAGTGTGTGTGTGTGTGTGTGTGTGTGGGAGAGAGAGAGACACTCGCAAAGACACAGAGAACTTGCGAGCAAGGATGGAGGAGGCGAGAGCGGGTAACTAGGGTTCTGTATACCTGACTGGTTTCTGTGTCTCTCAGTAATGAGCCAACTCTAACAAGAGACAGAACCAGCTCAATTATTAAAGAGTGAGAACGAAAGAAAGGGAGGGAGATAAACAAGGGTGAGGGGTGCTGAGAAACACATATACATCACATAAACAACAGCTCATGCATGCTGTGAGAAACACAGATCACAAACACAACCTTCCATTTGCTAGTTTTGAAACTCACCCATTTCATGATAAGCAACTAGGGGTTTGAATGAATGATATACTGTATCACTGACTGGATCATTATTGTAAGATGTTACCACAAGCCACCTAAAAAGAAAAAAATGCAGCAGTTTTATATTCATGTCATATACTTCATTTTTAGATCAACTGATACCTTATGTTGCATATGCATTTGTATGCGTTTTGCCCTGACATATGTCATTCTCTCTCTCTCACTCTTGCTCTCTCCATTTCTCCCTCTCTCGACTCTCCCTTTCTCTCTCTCTCTCTCTCTCTCTCTCTCTCTCCTCTCTCTCTCAGGTAACAAACTGCCTGGCTAAAGATTGCCATGGAAACATGCAGTTTGAGAGTGAGATGAGAAATGATTGAGAGAACCAATGTGTAAGGTAAGTGTGGGTTTTCTTTCCATACATCATTTAGGTCACACACAGGACAGCCTGTTCAAATATGCTCATTGTTTTCAATTATGTAGTTGAGGTACTTTCTGTTTCTATAACTACATGAAACGAAGGCTCTGATTCACCACACCTTTCTGTGCACGGTAATGTGCTTTTATTGGGAAAGTGAATGAAGCATGTTCGAGACCTGTGCCAATCATTTTCTTTACGTAAACTTTCTTCTTTGGGCTCTTTTTGGCATGATTATAGGGCACAATTTTCTTATTCCAAATTTTAAATCACATTCAGTTTCATAATTGTGGATTTTTATTCTATGCAGGTAGTGAAAAAAAACAATGATAGGAGCAGGAGACATTTTTTAACAATATCCTTTACTATCTGAAATATGGTGATAAGTCTTGCGTCACAGAAGCAAAATCTTTCAGTTGTCATTCAAGCTAAGATTTTAGGAGGATGGAGGATAATTCAAGGAATATAAAATATGTGTTCAAATTTTAAATTATTTAAAAAATTAAAATTGTATATATATATATATTAATTTACAAACTTTTATGTTAGGTTTGACAGCAGTATTTTTAAATTATTATTTTTACGTGAGCATGAGTGAACAAGATCTTACAAATTTATATGCTTATTATATCATTGTATTTAGGATACTTTTTGAAAATTCAATAATTTTTGGTGGCTTGTGCTTTAAAGGGGTCATGAACTGGCTTTTTAAATTTTATTATATTGTTTTCTGAGGTCAACTTATGATGTTCGCTTGGTTTTTGCATTCAAAAACATCAAAATGAATAAGTAACAGGCTATTTTTGTACCCAAGTTGTGAGCCACCTGAAAAACGCTCGGTTTTTATGGGCGTGTCGCACTGAAGACTTGGAAGTAAATGCCCACTGCTGTGAGTGGATAACAATTTTCCATATTATAATGAGTTTCAACTCACCCCTCGATGCACTTGGGGGAAATTGTTTTGAAAACGTCCAATGTTGTAAAACGGCAACCGGAATGATTCGCCCATGCATGTTCGACCCAGAGTCCGTGTGTTGCACCATTCCTGTCAGATCCAATATAGATCGGCACAACACCGTTCTTTACTCTTAATCGGTCTGCAAATCCAGTCTTGTTTACATAACAATCCTCAGTGAAATGAAGCGAACAGACGACAATGTTTTACCCTCATCAGCTGGATTGTCATTAAAAATAAAGTTTATCCATGCAATCCTATTGGAATCCAGAGGAAGCTTATGCAGCGACTGTCTTCTACAACCAGGCACTGCACAATATTTTGTATTGCTCGGTAGCTCGATCCGGTTTGTCATCACGAGGTAGGCATCTATGTTATTTCACTATGCGTGTAATGTGCGAATCAGTGGGCAGGGCTAAACCGGCCGTGTTGAAGTGGGCGTTGATCTTCTTCTGCGGGGGTGGTGTTTTATCCTCTTTGACGTCATAGTTCCCACTTTGAAAAACATCGTTTGCTAAGGCTGGTGTCAATAAAAGCTTTTATTGGACTAATAAGGACGTTTTCAATTCTGAACTTACAGGATATTCTTTTAATATGATGACCTCTTAGATGTCAAAAGCTCAGGGAAAATTTGATTTCTCAGTTCATCACCCCTTTAATGACACTTTAAATAGAACAAATGTCACATTTCCTAAAACAAATTCAAAATATGTCTATGTAATTCAGTCATGACACATTTATTGTCACTAATGGGTTAAAAGTATATAACCCATATTATTAGATATAGAACACGTTGCAGGTGCCGTAGTTTTACTATTAAATTATGATAAATCCTATTACTGTATTATCCTATAAATAATATAATGGTTCAAAGAACAAAGCAGCCTCAAAGTTGTGCTTGTGCGGTGGGCTGAGTCTTGAGGAGGACAGGACATTCCTAAGAATCAGACGAATCAGTTAAAGCCTCGGATCATGCAGAAAACTGAGTCTGAGGTCCACAGATCCTCAATCCCGTCGACTCACACAGTTCCCCATTTACTTTGCAGCACTGTATCTTCCTCGTGATTATAAGGCATGGTGCTCTTTTAATGAAATCATAATCTAATTGAATTAACATCAGTGACCTCAGGTTTCCCGCAAATGACTGTGGCCGTTGTGTGTCTGTAAAACTCAGAACACCTGTTTGCCCAGCAGGATACACCTGTACCGATACACACAACGCATATAGATAGATAGATAGATAGATAGATGGATGGATGGATGTATGGACAGATTATAGATAGATAGATGGATGGATGGACAGATTATATAATAGATAGATGGAAGGATGGATGGACAGATTATAGATAGATAGATAGATAGATAGATAGATAGATAGATAGATAGATAGATAGATAGATAGATAGATAGATAGATAGATAGATAGATAGATAGATAGATAGATAGATAGATAGATAGATATAGATAGATGGCCATTAATAAAAATGTATGACAATGTGTTATAGAAATATGATAAAAATCATTAAAACAGGATATGAATGTGGTCCTGGGTGATTGATCAGATGTCTATTTCTCTTTCTCATTCTGTCTAATCTTTCTTTTTCCTATCTTTCCATCTCCTCTCTTTTCCTCACCTTCAGACTCTGTTGCAGACTCTCTCTCTCTCTCTCTCTCTCTCTCTTACACCCTCCCCCTGTTTCTCCCTTTCCTGTTCTATCTCTCTCTTGCACACACACACACACACACACACACACACACACTCTCTCTCTCTCTCTCTCTCTCTCTCTCTCTCTCTCTCTCTCTCTCTCTCTCTCTCTCTTCTTCTCTCTCTTTCTCTCTCTCTCTCTCTCTCTCTCTCTCTCTCTGTCTGCTGGAAGTTAATGAGCCCAGCTCCCCTGGGGAACACACACTTCCTCTGCCAGAGACAGAGGAAAGAGCGAGAGAGATTACACAGTGCAGAGAGAGTGAGCAAGAGAGAGAGACATAGCAGAAAGTGAGAGATGGTGGGGAAGAGGAGGGGTACTATGGGGAGATAAGGGAGGAAGGAGAAAGAGCAAGCAAGAGAGAGGGAGAAAGAGATAAAGAAACAGAAGAAAGTGAGAGAGTGGGGGGAAGAGCAGAGGTACTGAAGGCCGATAAGGGAGGAGAGAGATAGAGAAAAAGAGAGAGAGAGAGTAGGAGGGAGTGGAATTTTCTGGATATGATGATAGAGGGAGTGTACAGCAGGCAGAAAGATGGATGAGTGCACTACACACTCCCATCCTGAATGAGAAGGAGAGATTTAGACCATGGAAACAGGGATTGAGAGCGAGCGAGAGAGAGAGAATGAGCTGTGCGTGCTAAAAAGAAACAGATGCTTTTGAATAAAGCCCCTGTGTGAGAGAAAGAGAGAAGTCAAGTCAAGGGAATATCTGCATATGTGCGCACTAGTGTGCGAGACGCAGACGGACAGAACGAGAGAGAGAGCGCGGATGTGTGTTTTTGAAGCAGGTCTTAACATGCTGTCAGTGTCTAGAGTTGGAATGTGCACAAGGCGGCCATTGTTGTTTAAACAGCCATCCAGCAGCCCTTCTCCTTGGCAACGGGCTCTGCAGTCTCCCACGGCAACAGTGGAACAGGGGTTCTGTAACGGGTGGGGGGGGGAGTCAGGAAGTCAGGGCCGCAGTGGAGAGGCCCCTCTACAAAACACTGGCCTCAAGGTCCAACTCAATATGTGCAAGTGTGTGTGTGTGTGTGTGTGGCGTACGCCCATATGCCTGTATGTGTAAGTTGTGTGTGTCGGAGTGCAGGAGGGAGCATTAGACACAATCCAGAGATGAATAAGAGGAGGCAGGTTAGAGAGGTGTGGGTTCGTGCGCTGAGAGACACACCGGCTTTAAGTATGAGCTGATTGGTTGATGAGCTGTTTACTGAATATCTGACGGAAAGGACATGGATAAACACAGCGCGGGACGCAGATAAATATGTGTTGGATTATGAGAGAGAGAGAGAGGTGTGGACGGAGACAGGTGTGTGTTAGGGATGAGCATTAGAAGAGGTCAGGGGTTTGACCTGCTGGTAGACAAACACCATTGTAAATTCAATTTTAATCCAATATTTGGTGATAATTTAGCAAAATAAGCAATTTTTGAAAGGGTTTTTTAACACAGTATTAGGGTTTAGCTGTTTCTGGACATATTTCATCTAGTGAACATAAGACATAAATAAGCACTGTTTAAGCGCACATACTGTATTCTGTATTGTGTATTCTCCAAATATGAAAATAATTAAGCTGTTACAGTAGTGCGTCTGATCATGGCGCGATTGATTATTCAAATAAACAAAAGATGATGATGAAAACTGTATATTCAAAGAAGAATGGACAGAAAAGTAACTGTCTTTATTTTCCTTTCTTAAGTGTGTTTTAAACCGATAGGTGACATTATAGTATTGACATTATAGTATTGAAAATACGATGGGCTTTATAGTATTATAGTATTGACATTAGACATTAGATATAGATTACAGTATTGACATTATAGTATTGAAAATACGATGGGCTTTAGAAGATCCTTTACATATTTGTCATCAGTTTTCATAAGAACATAATTATCTCTGAAACATAAAAATGATATGAAAATGATATTCCCTAATGATGTTTGGGAGTGTCCTGAACCCTTGTCTGTCTTCATGCTCACATTTTAATGGCCATTCATCCGCATCCAACATATTTTTAAACACAGAAGTAAGCCATTTACTGTAAATGTGCAATTATAACAAAGTGCAGTAAACGGTTGGACTGTTTGCGCTACAAACCTGTGATTATGATTAATGATAAAGTAAGAATAGTGTGTTGTTGGTCTATTTCTCTCTCACCTTTCCACAGCTTTCATACCAGTTTCTTGAGCGTTTTCCATAGATGAAGTATGAAGGATCAGTGCTAAATTAACTGGGTTTTAGCCACACATGCCATACAGGGATACCCATTACTGAAACTCTTCTGGTTTACCTGTTCACACCTGGTATTAAGATGCATTTTTGGTCG